CGCAAATCAGCATATTAGAATGATTTCTGAAGAATCATGTGACACTGAAGACTGGAGTAATGATGCTGAAAAGACCGCTTTGCCATCACAGGAAAACAATAACACTTAAAAATATATTCAAATAGGAAACAGTTATTTTAAATTGTAATAACATTTCACAATATTACATTTTTTTCTGTATTTTTGATCAAATAAATGCAGCCCTGATGAGCATAAGAAACTCCTGTAAAAAACATTAAAAATCGTTCTGATCCCAAACTTTTGACCGGTAGAGTGTATATATATATAATATATTTTTAAATAACATCAACATCATATGGACACTTTCACAACTCAAAAATGTGTCAGAGAGCAATTGCATTCACAGTAATACTCTTGACTGACATTTATATGTGAATTAACAATCAAACGGTTCAGAAGTGCAGAGAAAGTGAGATGTTGGGTTTATCGTCCACAGGTTCTGCGTTCATGATGGTGAACTCGACGGGTCGGTTCGCGGGTCAGAAGGCTTTGCTCTTCACGCCGCAGCTGAAGGAGAACGACACGCACTGCGTCATATTCCAGTATTACGTGGCGGGACGAGAGGGAGGACGGCCTGGACATCTGAACGTCTACATCAAGGAGAACAACAGCCCGATGGGTTTGCCTGTGTGGAACACGTCTGGACCCGCTGGACGCAGCTGGAACCAGGTGGAGCTGGCCATCAGCACGTACTGGCCCAACTTCTACCAGGTGAGATCCACTCACACACCACTGTCTGGATCAAACCGGGTTTTTATGCCGTGCAAACTTAAAGGGTTAGTTCACCCAAAAATGAAAATTAGGCTGTGTTTTACTCACTCCCGAGGCATCCTCGGTGTATATGACTTTCTTCTTTCAGACGAATCCAGTCGGAGTTATATAAAAAATTGTCCTGGCTATTCCAAGCTCTATCATTACACTCAGCGGGTGTTGCATGCATCAGTCCAAAAGAAGTGAAATAAAAAGCGCCCATCCATCGATTCGCTACAGGCCTTTGTTCAACCCCCGGAGCCGAGTGAGACACTTTTTTTTTATGAATGGGCGCTTTTTATTTCACTTCTTTTGGACTGAAGCAATGCAATACCCGCTGAGTGCAATGATAGAGCTTGGAATAGCCAGGACAATTTTTTATATACTGTAACTCCGACTGGATTAAATAGCTGTTTGTTTGTTGACATTATCTGTAGATGATTTGTGATGAAGTTTTTGGTAACATCAGTAAGAATTATTTGAAAATTAGAAATGGATCAGTAGTGTTGCACACCAAATGCCATTTCTATTCAAAACATGCTATATTTTATTTAAAAATTCAGAAGCTGTTTGATGTTTTTGATGTCTGAACTATAGGACCAGCAGGAAAACACCCTTACCTGGGGCTGCGCAATTTGGGGAAAAAATCTAATTGTGAATTTTCTGGTTAAAAACTTAATTTAAAGCCCGGTTGGGTTGCACAATGATTATGACTGTAAAATATTATTTATAAATAAAACAATAAACTAATTAAGGATCGATACTGTGACATTGTAATATTTTACTGTAAAATAAAAAGTAGATTTAAATAAAATGTAATAATTTTATTTTACAGTACAACAGTAAAATTACAATGCTTAAGTCTTAATTTCTTCATATTCAAAGATTAAATCATTTAGCTTTTATTTGGTGGTAAACTGCATGCAGCTCTTAAAGCTTGTGTTTTGTTGGCAACAGATGGTTTATATGTGTTTCTCAATACAAGTTTGTGAAGATGGTTTGTGTTGCTTTTCAAAGGCGTGTTGTAAGCAGATGAAGAGACGCTGAAAACACCCGATCATGAGCCGCTCACCTGTACAAGAACACAGTGACATGCATATGTTTATTTAACTAAATCACAGTCTTTGCATTTTGAGAATCACACAAAGTCATTTCGCATTTCGTGCGTGTGCGTGTGCGTGCGTGTGCGTGTGCGTGTGCGTGTGTGTGTGTGTGTGCGTGTGTGTGTACCTGGTATTTATCACGTTATGGGGAACAAATGTCCCCACAAGGATAGTAATACTAGTAAATTTTGACCTTGTGGGGACATTTTTAGGTCCCCATGAGGAAACAAGCTTATAAATCATACAGAATTAGTTTTTTTTGAGAAAGTAAAAATGCACAAAGTTTCCTGTGAGGGGTAGGTTTAGGGGTAGGGTTGGTGTAGGGCAATAGCACATACAGTTTGTACAGTATAAAAACCATTACGCCTATGGAATGTCCCCATAAAACATGGAAACACAACATGTGTGTGTGTGTGTGTGTGTGTGTGTGTGTGTGTGTCTGTGTGTGTGTGTGTGTGTGTGTGTGTGTGTGTGTGTGTCTCTGTGTGTGTGGTCAGAATGTTATTTTCTGTCTTTCCGTCACCTGACCCTCAATTTCAGGTGAATATAATGAAAATCTTGCCCTCCGTTAGAGAGAAAGAGAATCACATTTTCTGCTCCTGTAGAGCTTAATTTTCACATGTGCTGAGAGAGCGAGAGAGAGAGAGCACCGGCTCTGATTTCACACATGCTGGTCATTAGCGAACGGCTCTCATGGGCATTGACGGAGCCCCATGTTAATTGGTGGAACGAGCCCCAGTGACCCGGCACAGGGGAAGCGTGTTTGGGTAAATTACTCCATTAGAGCGGCGCTGAGGAGCGAGCGAGAGAGGTTACGATGAGACCCGGCCTGATTAGAAGAAACAGCGCTAGACCCTGCCATACGTGATCATTTCATCTCTACAGATTCATCATGACGTCTGGAGGAGTTTGAGATGATTCATAAGCCAGATCAATGATTCTGTTGGGTTCTGGCAGATTATTCACTTTTGATTGCATTAGTTGCAATTAATTAAAATTAATTTTCTTATTTACTAAAATGGTGTTCCAAACCTTTAGTGGTCACATCTTTTAAAAGACACTTAATATTCAATAATATTATTGATTTGACTGATCAAATAATCAGAAGAGAACAAAACCTTACTGAATTGATCTGAATAATGACTTCTGTAGTGCTGTTTTACTGCTGAAATTGAATTTGGTTCATAAATGATGGATTTTTCAATATTGACAATATTATTGAATCAACATTGAACTGAATAAATAATAAATAAATAAATTATATATATATATATTTCAAATATACAAAAAATGTCACAAATATATATTTTTTTATATAAATATAAATATATATATAAATAAATAAATTTATTTTATTATTA